TGGGTGAGGTGAAATGGGGTTTAACGTCGCGTCCAAGATTATTGCACTTATATAGGGACGTGCATGTACGTGTGTGTGTTTGTGTGGCTGCTTGTACTAGTCCGGACTGATGCCGATTTATAGTGCTAGCTCACTGAAATACCATGCCGCAGTTTAACATGAATACCCCACTCAGACACAGTATACTGACTCCGAGCCGACCAATCCTTGTTTTAGCCCCTTAATGCCGAGCGCCAGACAGGGTAACAGCAAGTATTATCTTTTAAGGTCTTTTGGTATGACGCGGCCGGGGATCGAACCCCGGACCTTCCGCTCTCCGGGCGGACGCTCTACCACTAGACCACGGAGGCGGTCCATAACCAATTTGATGAGCCCCTTATGCATGACAGACTAATGGCCACAGTAAGAGCGGATCTTGGATTTTGAACCAACAACCAGCAAAACATGACAGGTGAAGCTGATGCAACACCACACAACAAACTGGCACCATATATTTATCCCTGAACTATTGCTAGTCCTATGCTGTTTGCAAGAGGCAACTTACTGTGGTCAGACTCGGTTACTTGGTTGATAACGGGTCACTGTACCCTGACATTTTGGATTGTTGCTCATAATATCGATCACTGGATGTCTGGTCCAGATCCAATTCTTTGCAGGCCACTAGCTGGAATATTGCTGAGTGTGGTGTAAAACTATAAACAAACCTAATCTTCCACACTGAATGTTCGATACAACCATATACGTACAAGTTAAATTAATACAACTTGGTCTGAACCTCCGGTAGCATTATTAACCTCAGGTTTCGCAGTGTTTGAGTCCATTTGTCAACTCCAACAAACAAAAAACAAAGAAAAGTGTACATATTAAACATTTATATGAGGAATCTGATGCCCATGTCACAGGCAAGCTTACACCTAGCACCTATTGTACAGTGTATTCACAGTGTAGTGTAATAGTTAGGCCCACTAAAGGGCAGCTAGCAATATCCACTGGGGCACGTGGCTCATCACTTGTGTGAGAATGTACAAAAGCCTTATATACAGATGGTCTTCTCTTGATAAGAAATACAAGCTTGAAAAAGGATATTTCACATTTTTACAAAATTGACAATTTGATTGTTAGATTTGGGTTTGATTATATTAATCATAATTGTTAAATTTAAGCAGCTGGGCTTGACAGCCATCCTCATCCAGTAAAAGAGATTCAGAATGCCGAGCATACATATCCATGTGAAGCTCAGTCTCTCCCTTCATTATGTTCACACACAACAAAGAAATAAGCATCCCCGCTTATCCGTGGTATAACACTGGTTTCTTTTACAATAAATACCCTGGACCATTCACTACCATCGCTTCGTTGTAAGCCCGATTCAAATGACATGATGCTCTAAACAGCTGTCCAATCAAATTACACTGATGAGTGAGAGAAATTCTATTTTAATTTAGATATGAAAATTTTCCAAACTGAAGATATGGTAACATATGGATCCAGGGTACTTATCATAACAGAATGGAGACATAATACCCTGGACAAGCGAGGATGGAAAATAAGCAGAAGATAAAACAGATGCTGCAGTCAAACAGGTAACAAAAGTTGATCCAACTACCTTTGCTTTATCTCATGACATGTTCATCAACATATTAAGCTAGTGATAGCAAGACACGTGAGACAATGTGGATTCTGTGGTGACAGTTGAGCAGACAATGCCTCCAGCTGTACATGAAATGGCAACAGAAGATGGAAATGAAGAGGACCTGTGTCCGGTAGTTATTTGGCTTAATGTTTGATCCCTATATCAATGCAAACACAGGAAGATGAACTGAAGGTCTCATGGAGCTGATGGGATCATTGGCATTGGAGTTACAACTTGATAAATAGATACTACAGTCAAAACCAATTCTCACATACTGTCATAACGATGAAATCTGAAGTTTATAAGGTATATGAACAGTAAAATCACTGTGCCAAAACCTGTAACTTGAAATCATTTTCGGTAGATTTTAGTGTTAAAATATGGACTTTTATTGGCAAAATTTATTAGACCGAAGAAATTTGACAAGACTGGGGCTTCGGACTTGTGCTGAAAATCACAGACTAGATCAGTAAAATGTCTGGAGATTTGAGTTGGGTTAGTTACATGTAACTTCCTGTATCTGATTGTGTTACATCTGAATCTAGGGAGGCAGTATTTCCTGTTGTCATTTCACTACGAGAATTCCCATATGAGAAATAACAGACAGATTTCTCCCAGACTACAACTTTGCTGCCTGAAACTTATGTTGTTCTATGTATGTTCTATTAATGTTGGACAACAGTACATCATAATTCCTGGGCAGCGACTTTGTTTGTTTGTTTGTTGTTAAACACTGCAGTCAGCAATATTCCAGCTATATGACGGCGGTCCATAAATAATCGAGTCTGGATCAGACAATCCAGTGATTGACATCATGAGCATCGATCCACGCAATGACTTGCATCAACCAAGTCAGTGAGCCTGACCACCCGATCCCGTTAGTCGCCTTTTATGACAAGCATAGTCGCCTCTTACGATAAGCATAGTCGCATCTTACAACAAGCATGGTCCCTTACTTCTACTGACCTGCATCATCATGTTGATGTCATCACTTACAACTGATACTAGTATCTCTAACATCCTTAACTCAAGGATGAACATCATCAGACAGCTTACATCCCATCACAGCTAGATGAGGGTGCATCTTTACAAGATTCTAGTTCACTTTGACAAATGATGGATTCTAATGTAAACATATGACTGTATTTAGTCAAGCCTCTGTTTAAACATCTTTTCAAGAAAAATAAACTTCTGACCATCGAAAAACTGGCAAACATTCATTCTATTCACAGCGAGCACAGCACATCACACATGACTGATAACGAGGTCATTCACCAGGGATTACATCTTAGAGTCAGACAGCTAATTGATGTGTGAAACTCAAGAGATTTCAAAATAGAATGTGACAATGAATATTCATCAAGGGAAAAACATTGCATATTGTTCTCATGTTTAGTTTAACTTATAATGAAACTGGCCCAAATCATACTTGGTACTTCCTGGAAATATTTATCTTTAACAATTGCATCGTGATTAGGCTGAAATTTGAAAATGCATAAGAACAGATTACATGTTGCGATACCAATTGCCAGGGAAGTGTGAAAACCAAGCTTCATTGACACTCAGCAGCCATCTGGAATACATCCAACAGACACCTGTAATAGATCCACATTTCAGAAAACTGAATCAAGATGGAAAACATTGCATTAAGCTAAAAGATTTTTTTTAAAGATGCAAAAGAATTTTCTTTAAAAATGTTCTCTTCTAATTTATTTCATATATCTAGAAGTGTATCTATCTGCTAAAGTTTCATTACAAAATCAGTTATTGGTAATAATATAATGATAGCAAGAAAACAAATACATCATGAATCTCATCTGCCATTTGCTTCTTAGTTCTTATTAAAAAGTAATCCCATAAAAATAGTAGCACTTAAAGACAAAATATAATTAAGTGTCACTCCATCAGGAGCCTACTTAAGCACCATGATATGTTCTAATGTTTGGCAATAGTAGTCATGCTAGCATCCACTCAAAGGCCAGAACCTTTTCCACTGGCAGCAAAAATCTAGTGTTCTAAAAAATTATCTCATGTCCGTTTTTTTTGGGTGCATTTTAACTTTTGTTCTGAACAAAGACAATTATACACATTTGCCTTCTGTCTGATCTGTATAAATCTTGCTAAAAAACATCGAAAGTAAATACAATTTTGAAAATCCACAGAAAAAGTAAGGTCTGCAGTGTGAAATAAATGCTCATGGCCAACTGTGTCCTCCATAACTGCTTGTGACACACAGTTAACAGTGTTAGGAAACACCCTCAGCTCAATCAATTCACACTTTTCAGGCACTAAAATATTTTTATTACTTTTCTGTAAATTGGACCCTCGTGGACATCAAAGACAGGGCCACTGTCCATTAGCATAGTGCAATAAAAGCACTGGCTTAAAATCTTGTGTATGTCTCAATCTGACATGAAATCTGAAATGATCATCTAAAAGCTGGTGACATGTCTTTATGTGAGGAATTTTCCGACTAGTCAATTTTCTTGACATGGTAATGTATACAAATGAAGGTCCCAATCTCAATGCTAGGACTCAACTCCTGTCTTAACACAGATTAATATTTGTCAAAGAGGAAATATCATGATCTGGGCCTCGTTCCACAAAGCGATCTTAGCGCTAAGGCGATCATAAGTCTCATACTAACATAGACCTAAGACAGCCGTAGCGCTAAGATCGCTTTGTGGCCTTGTTCCCCAGCATGTTCTAATTCCCACAGTCTAAAGTTGTAACCGTAAGATCGCTCTGAAGACATCTGTGTCCATTAAGCTGTTAGTCTTGGTCCAAACAGATATGAAAATGAGATGATTATCATATGACATGATTGAACATTCTCTGTTGAGAATGTAACTAAAAGAGCAATAGTTTTAAACATTATCACAGTCCAAGCACATCAACACTTCTAAACAATCTGTGGGTAACCTTTGAAAGAAGCTGAAACCAAAACAAAGCATGCTTTTGAATGTGGAAACCTCTATGTCCATAAAGAGCTAGTCAATTAGAAAAATATTTTGCTCCTTGGAATAAGAGAGTTTCATGGGATTAACCCAGATTCAACAATATTTGAGCCTATCTGTCCTGTCAGCTTACTGTGGGAAGAAAGCTCAAAGTGACAATGTTGGATTCAAACCCCTGACAAGCAGATCATGGCACAAGCTCCTCACAGCGATAGCCCATTCGCGGAGCTCCCTATACTATCGCTGCCACCAGTCAAAACTTCCCAACCATGCCTGGAGTTGAACTCGCAACCGATTGACCGTTATGTTTACAAACAAGTGACGACTGTCGTGAGGCCAAATACACTTACCCCTGCTCAATTACTTTCTTTGTTTGTCAATTTGAATTTCTATTTCATTAAAACTATCATGTAATTGATATAGTGAGAATGTAAGGGAGAAGTTGGTTGATTTTCCGTTAGTCTGCAATCTCTAACCAATCTGATTATACAAACAACAAAGTAAGTTCATCTGGAAAACATGGTCAGTCGTAAACTTTGTCAAAATGAACAATGATGGCATTCCTAAAGACATAAACAAAAGTATGAACGTTACTGCATTTGGAGTTAGAGGGTAAATTTCAAGATTTAGTAATGGCTGCACCCACACTGGTGGCAGCGATGTTACCGAGAGTGTAACGAAGGTGTCACATGCTGGGAAAGAGCTTGATCATGGCACTGCTAGGGGATGCAACTCTGCACAGTGAATTGCAGTTCTCATTCCACTGTGCCATTCTGACACATTATACGCTTTGATGTAATCCCCTTTATAAATCCAGTGTCTGGAAACACTCTTCTGAATAATATCTTGATGCTGCTTACTCTCATATGCAGTTCACTGCACCACAATGCTCTGATGTTCTGGTTTTAGGCTCAGTTCCTTTGTATACTGTCACTGATGGCCTTCCAAAATGTGTCTACACTGAATCAGGACCAGATGATATGATTTTGAGTTACGTACATTCACGAAAATCACGTACAAATCTAACAGAAAAAATAGCTCTAAAATAAATGTCTGTCTCAAAAACAGACCCAATCATCCAATACCAATACAATCACTAAACCATTTGCGTTATTTTGTCATGGAAAATTGTGATAAACAGACTATTATAATTTTGTAGGAATATTTTTCATTGATTTGATACCTCTGAATCATTCATTTGAAACCTACACTAAAACTTCAGTTTCACTTATGTACTACTCAAACAGCATTAAAGAACACCCAATTCTTTCATTACTAGAATTAATCAGTCATGGAATGACAGACTTACTTTAGTTATATGAAACAATCCATTCCTTAACTTCTTTTGAATAGTATATTAAGACATATTTACCAAAGATAACACGTCCTAAAATACAAAACACGTTTACCGCATACATGCTAGATGATATCTGCATGTTTCAAGTTACACACAGTTCTTAAACAGCTGTGTTCTAAAGACTGAAATTTTTAAGAGGAGTAAAACATCAAACCACTCATACTGCTACATTGTTAAGAACCTAATTTCACCTCTCCCTCTTTCACTGACCACATGTTAGTTCCAGCTTCCTTCAACTTGTCATGGGGTTTGTAAGATCAAGTAATATATCAAATTAAAAGGTAGATTTTCTTCCATCTGTACAGGTGAGTAAATGTACAAATTAATTAGATCACAATTTATTGATAAAATGTGTATATGAGATGTGTATATGTGTAGAAGTCGCTTCACGACATGGAAATGATAGCACAATGATTATGACACTAACACACATACTGAGATTAAATAATGATTCCTGAAAGTCTTCAGCCAGATCAAATACTGGGCAGCATCATCCCCTGCTTGCTTGTGCCAATACCAGAAATAATATCTTTTTTTTTAATTAAAAAATGTTTCAATTCCTACTTCACGTCTCAACATAGAGGAAATCCTATTGGTACAGAACACACAGCTGTCTGTGTAGACCATGAGAACACACCTCAACTAGACTAACGCACAGCGATATTTATGTTTGAAGCCATTTTTTCCATATTGACAATATTTTGGCACTTTTCTGATCCTCAAAAACTGACAAATACACCAAAATCAATCACTCATAAACTATGCATTACTAATAAATGTTCACTAAATTTTCAAAAGCACTCCTAATTCAAATACACGGGAAGCTAAAGCATTTAGTGTATTGACTGTTATAGATGTCAGATGATCTTGTGTCCACGGAGACTTGATGCTTACAGAAAATACAGAAGAAAAGATTGTTTAATATATGAACCAGAATGCAACTATATTTAATGGTCTCAGATACACAATTTTCACACTTTTCCTTGTGCCAAAACCCAATAGTTGTTCTGACTATTCATTTCCTTAACAAAATATAATTTCCACAATTCTCTGACCATATTTAAACTTGTGTGTCTCCTAGGTCCATAGAATTCTACATCTCAACAGTCAACGCTACATTGCATTAAAGTAAGCACCGATACGTTGTTTTAATATCTCCTTATCCGGTCTTGTTTATATACAAACAAACTTACATGCTTTAAATAATTTTCTTTAATTATTGCCGTAATTTTAGATATTGGATTCAGCCATTCAAGCAAGCTATTAATGAAATTAGAAAATAGATTGTATTAAAGCCAGTTTTTCACCTTATTCCTCAATGGCCCCAGATTGATGAATGAAGAGGTACACATGCATGTATTTGCAGCTCTTTGAGCCATAAATGAACATTTTGTATAATGACAATAAAACAGCATGGCAAGGACATTCAATGAGAGGATAAAACATAACATCGGACGAAAATAGAGCATGTACATAAATGCCTTTACATAAAGTGTATTTCTAAATATTGTATATCTGAATATCTAAGACCTGAGGATATGGCTATAAAGTCCCATTCCTAACAAACATTGTCCAATAATCTGGCTATTCTGCTGTGCTTTGCCATATTTCTGCTGCAAACGTTTTGTTCTTATCCATCCATTTGTTTCTCATTTCTTGTCATGAACATGAAAATAAAAAATAGAATGACAATGCGTGAAGCCTTGTTTTGACCTTGACCTTGATTTATGTGTGATCAGATTTTTTAATATATTTTATGATGAAAACTGATTCAAACAGAAATATAGCAAAGCACAGTAGAGTCAGTTCAGTCTGAAAATCACATGATCACACATGCTATCTGCCTAAATACTAGTCATCAATAAGCCAGTCTTGAGACGCCTACTTACAAGAACTATCAGCACAAATACACAGTGATAAGATCAAACAGTCCCAAACCCAATACATTCTGCCTGCAGAAGTCTTACGCCATTATGTTTTTCTAAAGAAATAGCATTTCCCACTTGATACTGTGGTTGAATTTTAGCAAAATAAATAAATTACATTAATATAATGACAAAATAAATACACAAATATTACATCTTGGTTGTAGTTAAGACCATGATATCCTTCGTGAAGCCTCAACCAGGAATATATACCCATCATATGGCGTTTCTCCTTCTCATTTTTTGCATTCATATTTTCTTATGATCTCAGCTGATCTGCATGATCACCCAGACGATATATTGTTCATCATTTTCATGATCAGATTTGATCTCTGTTTTATCTGCAGTTGTCCATCATGCTCAGAAATCCCAGTTCAGGGCCTACAACTCTGGGCGGGACTCATGCTCTGTTGGGGCATGGATTACCCCCCTTGAGCAGCTCACCTCCAGGGGTCTCTTTCCTTGTACCCCTGAGCACCTGGTAGTGTGTACAGTTAGATTATTCCATTGTCTAAGTTCCTGTTTCATCAGAACAGCATACTTTGGCGACGACGGTTGCCTGAAAGGGAGGTAACTCTTCCATCACAAAACATATCAACAGAAGGATAACATTATTGTAATGAAATGTAAATAGGAGAGGTAACTCTTCCATCACAAAACATATCAACAGAAGGATAACATTATTGTAATGAAATGTAAATAGGAGAGGTAACTCTTCCATCACAAAACATATCAACAGAAGGATAACATTATTGTAATGAAATGTAAATAGGAGAGGTAACTCTTCCATCACAAAACATATCAACAGAAGGATAACATTATTGTAATGAAATGTAAATAGGAGAGGTAACTCTTCCATCACAAAACATATCAACAGAAGGATAACATTATTGTAATGAAATGTAAATAGGAGGATTAGTATCTGGTATGTCTCAAAAATATAGTTTCAAAAAATCCTGCAAAAAAGATTCATCGTTGACATAGATATTACACAAAATTGACTCACAGAAAGTGATAAACACATATTTGATGAAACTATATAGGGCTTATAAAATTCAACAAAATTTGACATGAGTGATTATTAATGTTTGTTTGTTTTGTTATTTAATGCAACACTCAGCAATATTCCAGCTATAAGACTGCAGAGTGTAAATAATTCCTTCTGGACTGCACAATCCAGTGATTAATATTATGAGCCATAATTCATACTATCGGGTACAATGACAAAGTCACCGAGCCTGACCACCTGATCCATTTAGAAGCAAGCACTAAGATCAGAGTTCATTGAGATTGCAACACACTGTACCCTATTGGGGAATCAAACCCGGGTCTTCGGTGAGACCACAAAATGCTTTTGCTTCCAAGCTTACCCCAACCCCTTGTATTAAATATGCAATTTGTGTTGTGCACCAGTGCTGGCTATACTGACCTGATGTTGCTACGGACGACGACCTCATCCCAGGGTCACGATGTAGAGACACTCCTGGTAGTGTGAATATGGAAACAGCTGCAAGTGCAACAGGCCACAGTCAGATCCCATAACCAACATCCAATATACACATGGACAGTTAATCAGACTCTTCATTTTGAGTGGATCAAGGTATGTATTTGAGTTTGCAGACATTCTCACTGACAGATTTACTTCAGTTGTTCAAAGATCAGCCAAGTTGTCAATGAATAAATCATGTATACTTGCATGTTTTTCAACCCTCAAAATACTGTTGGGCTAATATTACAATAATCTTACAGATGCAATCATAAACTGCATTAACAGCTGAAAAATACATTTACTTTTCAATTAATTTGGATTCGGCATACATCTCGTCCAAAGAGACACATAGGTATTCATCAAGAAACTTCATAATCTTATAACAGACATTAAAAAGAACTTATCAGATTATTAAAATTCTTTGGCGATAGTTTTAACTAACCCAATGCTATGAAACAGTAAAACTGTCCTTATGTCAATCAGCAGTCGGTACCAAACACTTTGAGTCTATAAGCCCGAATCTTTCTCTTGAAAACATTTTCAATAAATCTATGTGTTAATGTATGGACCGAAAGATATTTTACTAGACTCAGGCTACAGACCACAGCTAAAGTTACATCCTGAATCAGTGACATGGACATGGTCCAATCTCATTAAAATCAGATCTTAAATCTAGCTACCGCTAAACAAATATCTGAGGACATCCCATTAGGGGTCATGTCAGAACGTCCTTTCATCCGACCAATCAGAGCGTTGCTTACCAGATCATGAAAGTGACAGTCGGAATGTGATTTCTAATCATGCAGCCTCGAAAACTTTAAAACGAGGTATTCCGAACGATAGTTATGGGCTTAACGACTGAATCCATACAATCTAGACCATATATTAGCCATCTGAGAACGTTCTTTTGTTCAGGTTTCAAATTTTTAAGAGAGTTTGTCAAAATATGTTTCGAAGCGTAGTCGCCAATTTGAAATTAGTGCCGTAAAGCACGAGAAAGCTGCCTTCTGATTGGCTAATGTCGACTTCTTGTCAGTAATTCCATTGGTCAGTCAGAGTTTGCGAAAGGTCGGCCTGACGTGACCCGTAATGGGATGTCCTCAGATCTTTGTTTAGCTGCAGCGATCACCAAGATCTGATTGTAATGAGATTGGGACATGGTCTGAACAAGCCACTTACTGTCAGGCAGCCGTAGTATTGAAGGCCCGAAGCTGGTGAAGAATGGCTGCTTCATCCCCTGGGCAGCCGCTATCCTGCTCTTCCCCTCGTACTGGACAAACACAGATTATCACACAGTTAGAACTTCAGTTTTGCTGTCAGTTTTGCGGACCTCTTGTCCAATGGAAAAGCTGTATATTGTGTAAACTTCACATTAAAATATATACAAATAAATTCCAACCATAAGAGGGCATCCTGTAAACAATCAATAGACCAGACACTCCAGTGATTGATATCGAGTGATGAGCCAAGTCACCATGCCTAACCACTGAATCTAGCCTCCTCTTATGAGGAATCTGCTTGAGGTCTGGCGACATCATGATTCGATTCCACACACTGTACCACTGTTTGTTTGTTTGTTTGTTGTTTAACGCCGCACTCAGCAATATTCCAGCTATATGACGGCGGTCTGGAAAATAATCGAGTCTGGACCAGACAAGCCAGTGATTGACATCATGAGCATCGATCCGCGCAATTGGATCATTGACATGTATCAACCAAGTCATCGAACCTGACCACCCGATCCCATTAGTCGCCTTTTACGACAAGCATAGTCGCCTTTTACAGCAAGTATGGGTTGCTGAAGACCTATTCTACCCCGGAATCTTCACGGGTCCACTGTACCACTGAGGGGAATTGAACCCAGGTTTTTGGAGTGAGAGGCAAACGCTACAATCACAAGTCTACTCCACTGCCCCTCAGAATGACCAAATAAGGGTCATCCAAAATGGCTTATTTGTTTGAATAAATATAATCCTACAGAGCTATAATAACTTGTTTGTAAACTACTTGTCAGTTACAATGAATGAAGGGAGTGAATGATTGTCCAGTTGATATCCCCGAGTTTGGATTTGAGAGACACAACATTGTTGATACAGCTGTCAATATCATTTGTTTGTGCGTTTGATGTTTAACGCCACACACAGCAATATTCCAGCTATATGACAGCGGTCTGTAAATAATCGAGTCTGGACCATACAATCCAGTGATTGACATCATGAGCATCGATCCACAATCAAGTCAGCAAACTTGACCACCCGATCCCGTTAGTCGCCTCTTACGACAAGTATAGTCGTCGTTTACGGCAAGCATGGGTTGATGGATCTTCCCGTGTCCTGTCAATATCAATGGTGTGCTGATCTGTTCCCAATTCCGATGCGGGAGAAAAATACTACACAACACTTGATAGGGACATTCTCGGTGGACCGTTAGGGGATAAATATGACTGGATGTTTGGAGATGTTGATTTACGAATTGGATGCAATTTGGGCATGGAACTGACTCAACATATAAAAATATATATCATACAGTTCCAAGTCATGTATAGTCATGTTGACTCAGACATTTTTGAGTGGGTGACTGTTTCACGCTAGAAATTCTTTATTCAATACTTTATTAGCGAAAAATAGTGAAAAATCAAATTCAGTGTTTCTTACCTTCAAAAATCTGGACAGAATGTCTAAACCATCAGAATCCAATCTGCAAAGAAAGGAATTTAGAGAGTCAAAAGAATCATTTACAGAAAGTGTTTTGTGAAAAACAGCTATTAAAGTACTGTATTACAGTATTGATATGACTTCTTGAATGACACATTAAAATCTATCCAGACATGACACAGATGAATGTGACACAGAAATAGTTGACATATAATTCCTGCACATGGACTTGGCAGAGTTACATCTTGATTTTCTTCACTTTGAAATAAAAGGAATCAGGAATATTTTGCTTTACACATGTCAACACCCTATTAAATGTTTCTGGTAGCTGTGGCAGCCATGCCTAAAATCAGAAACAAATTCTGAGAGCAACTTTTAGAGACACCATAGATGAGTTAATCATACAAACAAAGTAACAATAATTTATGGCCTTGCTTGAGAAAACATAAGGATCTATCCCAAAGTCGCCTTAAAGTAAATAAAGAAGTTGTTATCCATAATTTGTGTCTAGTTTAGCTTCCGTCAGCTTCTAAGGATTGCCTATCAAACATTCATACAAACTTTCCACTCCATAGGATTTGTAGACAACAGGCTACATCATCCCTTCACTTGACTTTCAGTCAGGTGGGCTAAAAATATATTTTTTATTTATACTTAACCCGACTCATACGCTATAGCCATTAGAATGAGACATTATAAGGTAAAATAGGTATTATCAAAGCATTCAGAGGCCATTACAAGATTAAAAAAACTGGTGGATGAACATTTCCCAAGATACAAGTAAACAAAAACAAATGGCGAGACTAACAAACAGGTTGACACTGATGCATCCCCTCTGTATCCGTGACTAGGACATGCCCATTGGTAAAGTGTTGACACGGAGATGATCATGACGTGTCAGGTCAACGGCAACAAAGATACAAGCAATGTTCACCCATTATTTTCAGTCTGGGTTGTACTGAACAGTCTGATAGTCTGATACCTGCATCTTTTGTTCATAAAGTAAACATATACTAGTACTGCAGAAAAACTGTAATGACGAAGAGTATGGGTATTTTAAGGGCCAGTATGTCGATGGTTCTGGGTGTTTTTAAATCCTGCATGAAATAATTTCCGAGTGTGACGACACACGTTTAGTTCATGGACACAATTCTCAAACCAAAACAATAGAGCTCCACACAGTGAAGCCCCAACAACTGATGCCCTGCGCAGAATAACTGACTTCGGTCATGCTTGTATCAGAGGCAATTGGAAGAGAAAAGCCCAGTTGTTTTTCTGACAGATGAGTTACAAAATGCCTATTGCCAGCTTGACTGGATTAGAAACCAGTGTTGAAGCCAACACGACGCTGATCACTCTCCTACCCAGAGTTCCTTGTGGCCATTCTAGTACCTCTGTCACATCTTACAGTCTATTCAAGATATTGCATATGATGTTGATCTGTTTTGACGAGTCTACACATTAAGATGTATATATGTCATGAAATGTTTAACTACTATTGAGAAACTTTCATAAAACGTGAAAACTATTTCCATTTGGATATTTATCCTTTGTTTACATTGCTTGTATGGCTCTATATGTCCTGTTGTCGATCCCCTACGGAGAGCTGGCGATTTGGTCACTTAGATGTGTAAAGCGATAATGTCATATGTGCCTCACTGTCACACTAGTAGTAGCATATCTATATAATTATGCAAAACAATTTGTAAAGTGTTGCACCAAAAGGTATGTATTAGGCTCGTCTCATCTTATTTTAGAAAAGTGAGTTTGTTTACATATAAACAAGATAAAGGTCTGGTAACGTGATAAGCTTTTACCCATGGCATGGTCACATGGCTGAGTAAGCTCAGGGGTTATCGCCTAATTTACTGGCCCCTTTAGCTGAAATAGACAGTCCTGATCAAATAGTACACATATAGAAACTGACCTTGGTGCTATATTGATGAGAGGTTCTGGTCTGTAGAATGGAAAGTTGTAGGAGACAAACTCCTCATTGGTCGCGATTCCTGAGAACTCTTCATCTGAAGGAGTTCCGAGTGTCTTGAAGATAAGGTGGAGCTCATCCTCCACTGTGGAGCCGGGGAACAGCGGCCTGCCGCATGCCATCTCGTAGAAAATACACCCAACTCCCCTGCAGACACAACACAGCGAGCTTGTACCGATGTGAGTCAGTTTGTTTGTGTGTCTGTTTAACGCTGCACTCAGCAATATTCCAGCTATATGACAGGGATCCGTAAATAATCCAGTCTGGACCAGACAATCCAGTGGTTGATATCATGAGCATCGATCCACGCAATTGGAATATGATGACATGCATCAACCGAGTCAGCAAGCCTGACCACCTGATCCTGTAAGCCGCCTCTTGCAACAAGCATAGTTGCCTGTTACAGCAAGCATGAGTTGCTGAAGACCTATTCTACCTCGGATATCACGGGTTGATGTGAGCAAGTGAGGGAGGAGTGAGTCAGTGAGGAATGAGTGAGAGAGTGAGTGGTGAGTGAATGGAAAGTTGAGTGGTATGTGAGGAATCAGATGGGCGTCTAGTCAAGACAAACCAATGATTGATATTACAAGCAACTCAATCAGCAAAGTCACCGAGCCTGACCACTGAGCTTATCACCTCTTACATTTTGTTTTGTTTGCTGTTTAACGCCACACTCAGCAATATTCCAGCCATGTGACAGCGGTCTGTAAATGATCAAGCCTGGACCAGACAATCCAGAGACGGACAACATGAGCATTGACCTAAGCCATTAGGATACGTTGACATGCATTAACCAAATCAGCGAGCCTGACAACCTGATCCCGTTCATCGCCTCTTACGACAATCATGGGTCTCTTACAACAAGCATAGCTTACAATAGATCTAATGAAAGCTATCGATACAATTAACAATGGCCCATAATACATTGAGAATTATTTTGATACATATATTAAACCACCTGTGCATCATTACCATAGCCACAAATTAACACGCACCCAAAAATATTTAAGAAATTATATAAGATCTGAAAAACTTCCCAGATTGATAAAACCTAATAACAACAGGTCTCGGATACATGATTTCAAGAAAACACACAAAATATTAGAATATGATAATAACATTGATCCGTTGGCCCAAGTATATGACAGGACAAGATGAAGGTCCACGTGATTCTCTCCACTGGTTAACACCTAACTAAGGAGGAAGTTACATACCACATATCAATCTGTGTTGAGTACTCCGTGGACCCTAGCAACACATCCGGTGGGCGGTACCTGCACAAACAGTTCATAACATGATTCGTTATGTCACAATATGAGTGAATGAGTAAGTTGGGTTTAATGCCGCTTTTAACATTATTTCAGTTATATAAGGGCATGTCAGCTTAATGTGGGAGGAAAGCCTGAGGTGATGCAGGTCTCAGACGTTTACCACTTCGGTGAAACCCATGAACATGGGTATGGTGCTGACAAACCAAGAAACATAATCAGGGCAAATCTTGGATTCAAACTAACGGTTCTTGTACGGCTAAGGGACATAACTCTGCACAGCAAATTATAGCACTTAACTTGACAGGGCCACCAGTGCCCCCTACATCACTAAGGATTTCATCATGCTTTCATCTCAGCAGACGCTTATAGAAATGTCTGGCTAGGACTATAGTAACCAAATATTTAACAATGCTCTGATGAATATTTGTACCATCCATGTACTACAAACACCATAAAATTACAACTTTAAGTACAACTGAAATATTATCTTACCACAATGTGACCACTTCATTTGAATATGTCTTGGTTGGAATTGACTTTGCTCTGGCTAAACCTAAAACAGGAAATACAAACATATAAGTCGGTAGCCATTTGTGATCTTATTTGCCTTAATTATCAAAACAAAGTGAGTCAATGAAAATCTACTGATCTGACAAACTACATCACTGTTGACTGGTACACACATTATTGTTGGTGTGACGTGTAACAATGTCACAATGTTAATGACATCAAACCCCATAATTGTTGAGGTCATGTCAGTGTGAGTTTTGTGACATTGTTTCCAAAGTAGAATATGTATTCCCAGCATCTAACCCGAAAGTGTTGATAGCCATAACATCATGATATGGCCTTCCTGGACAATGCCAGACGTCAGCACTTCTTGTCTTACATCAGCTTAGCCCTCTCGCTCATGTGTAAATCCCTGTCCTGGACAAGAATTAGGTACTGGAGGCCTGTCAGCACCAAACTCCTATAGCATAAATCTCAATATAACTGTACAATTAACTACTGCTTATTAGGGCTGGGACGGGTAACTCGGGTACTGAGTAGGACCTGGGTACCCATAGGTTGGTTGGTTGGTTTGTTGTTTTATGCCAGTGATTGATATCATGAGCATCGATCCACGCAATTGGGATCGATGACATGCATCAACCAAGTCAGCGAGCCTGACCACCCGATCCTGTTAGACGCCTTTTACGACAAGCCGAGTTGCCTTTTACGGCAAGCATGGGTTGCTGAAGACCTATTCTACCTCGGAATCTTCACGGGTCGGGTACCAATAGGACTACCCAGATCTATGGTTAGTCATGTGATGTATTGTTTTATGACAAAAAATATCTAGAACACTATGGTAACAATACAAGTCACTAATGTTTGTATTTCTTTCTGACTATGCACCCATTCCTTCTGATTATTCATATGGTTGAATAAAGATATAACTTAAGTCAACTTCAGTGTATGCAAGACCAGCTTGTTTTTATACATGTATCTAAATACATTTTGCCAGGGCTATGGTAAAACAAATCCCAATCAGACATTAATTTGTACCTATTTCTTGAGACCTGCAGTGGGTACTCGGGTAGGGTCAGGTAAAAGGGGGCTGGGTACCTGGGTAGTAAATTTGGACTCGTCCCAGCCCTACTGCTTATCATATCACATTTGACATAACAACATGATAATAAACAACAACATTCAATTTAAGAGATGCAATTTTTACTCAAGAATTGACTTTAACATATTTTGTATTTATGGAGGCAGGAAAATAAAAACTTGTGTGTACTTGTGTGTACTTGTTTTTACATCTCGATACATGCAAAACATACATAAGTCAATCTTATTAAACCAGTCAACACTTATAACTTCACAGACTTATTATCGGACAGATTAATTAATCATGAACACAAAAAACTAGACAACAATATGAAATCAGCGACATCTTTCAATGCAATGATGCAACACGAGTTCTGCAACCATTATTATAAGCCAATCAGAAAACAGTAGACCATCAGTGGGTGTGGCCTTTCTTTCGGTTTATGGATATTGTAAACACAAGACAATTTACTTGGTTCGTCAGTCAAATGCATGGGATCACTTACAATACATATTTCATACTAATTCTCAAATTCCACTTTTAAATATATAATACATAATATATTGAAGTAAAAGTTCATCAAGATGTAGCCATGGGTATCTAGCGTTCTGCAAGTATTCAGCGACACCCCCCCTGGTGTATGGAGGTATGAAGTGACATGTGCCCAATAGCTTCCTAACATTAATCTGTCCGTTATCAGACAGTGCCAGGATGTGGAAATGTCAGCCATCATGTGAGCTGTTGCCCTTCGCATCCAAGCTGGCATCCCCTCATCACATAACTACAAACACATGGGGACCTACACCCATTGCAAGTTGTTATTTCACGTTGTATATTGCTCACAATTACATGTCTATTGCACAGTACAGTTGGTTTACCGGTAGGGCAGGACATGCTTACCCTTTTCAAGAACCCCTGATGTCATCATTTCACTGGTCCATTCATAGAATTTTCACAGCTATTTTGCCCTTTATGCCAAAGTTACTCACTAGATCGCATTGACATTTACATATACTGACACTTATTAAAACTATTATGATGAGGTCTGGCTATTGCCGTTGCAGTTGATTCTGAGTGAGGAATTCACTGGTCATTCTGAATGTGTATTTAAAACAAGCATAACTGACACCACTATAGGTCATTACGCAAAATCATAGAGATATTATGTTTAAACCATAACATGGATTAAGTCAGAGAAATCACTCAAATCTGTTTACTCCATCAGTAGAACCAGCCTACCCCTTTGGAGCTCGTTAATTCTACTCCCAGAATCAACAGTCAAGTGATTTCACCATCATGCTGTATGCTAAGAATTTGTTTGTTTGTTTGTTGTTTAACGCCGCACTCAGCAATATTCCAGCTATATGACGGCGGTCTGTAAATAATCAAGTCTGGACCAGACAATCCAGTGATTGACATCATGAGCATTGATCCACACAATTGGGATACGATGACATGCATCAACCAAGTCAGCGAGCCTGACCACCCGATCCCGTTAGATGCCTTTTACATGGATTGCAAACATAGATTGCTGAGGACCAATTTTAACCTGGAATCTTCATGGGTCTCTTACAAGAAGCATAGGTTACTTCAGATCTACGAAATCTAAAAGCGATTTTAGCACTATGACTATCGTAAGCCAATGTTGTAAGAATGGAAGTTATGATCAACTTAGCGCTAAGATCACTTTGTGGAATGGGGCCCTGATTAATGTCACACAAAGGCTGTGTCTGCATGTTTTGTTCAGGGTATGTACAGTGTGTGCTAAAATGTCTGATTCTACCTGCAGGAAATTGTCTAAATGTGAAATGAACTATGATAAGCTGATCTTACTGGCCGGGCTCTGGCTTCAGACTAGTGGGTAAAGTCGCACACTGTACGAAATCTAACAAGGAGAGGTCATGATACCTATCACATGTCTCGTGTACTATGTTTCTTATACCAATATTTGAACAGGTTGAACAATTTACCAAAGTCTGCTAGTTTCAGCTCCCCACGCTCGTTGATTAGAAGATTTTGTGGTTTCAGGTCTCGATGGAGAACACGACGTTTGTGACAGTACGCCAAACCTCGTAATAACTGGTACAAAAATATCTGGAAAATAATACAAAAAAATATGTACTCCAATAGTTTTCTTTTATATCACCAGTTAATGTTAGCTTATGTCCTTATGGAATATCCATCAATCTGTCAAATATGGCACAGAACTGTGGATTGACTACAAACAACTTTTATGAAACGTGGAAGCAATTTTTTCACAATTTATTGTCAGGCTGAATATATGAGAGTAAAACTTCCTTACAAGGGAGATAATTCCTGCCACCTACCTTAACATTGGTCATGCTCATTATGTTGCCACAGTCATCCATATACTGTTTGAGATCCTTTTCCTGAAACAAGGAAGGAAGTACAAGACTCCTTACAATAGGTAGACTATTGGGGATATTTGCACAACTGCGATTGTATTGCAATTGTTATGTTTTATTGTTTATTTGTTGTTTAACGCTGCACTCAACAATATTCCAGCTGTATGACGGCAGTCTGTAAATAATCAAGTCTGGGCCAGACAATCCAGTGATTTACATCATGAGCATCGATCATCGCAATTCAGATACAATGACATGCACCAACCAAGTCAGCGAGCCTAACCACCCAATCCTGTTAGTCGCCTCTTGTGGGTTGCTGAAGACCTATTCTACCCCAGATCTTCATGGGTCGTATTGCAATAGTAGTAATCCAACTTTAAGGCATAATATTTATGTTAATCAACTAAATATTAATCTAACTTAAATAGTTTTTAAGGAAAATTTGTCCACTTTAAAAGCGAACAGACGGAAAGACAGAAGGATGGACAGACATAGGACTAACAATTGCAATAGTTTGATATATTGTTACACTCCTTCCAGCAGAAGTAGAAGACTCCTGACAGGTGGCTTCATGAAGTTAACAAGGAACGAAAGCCATCACAAACACAGACAATCTAGAATCAAAACTTTCTGATGTCGATCAACAACAAACAGAGGCAGGCACATTGTATCATTTTTCCATCATTAGTCTCCACAGGACACCAATCTAAAAAAAGGTGAAGTGATATGCGTTTAGCCTCTCCTTCAAGATAAAAGTGATGTGCATTCATGTGTGTGTGTGGCTGCCTGTGCTGTGTGTGGCTGCCTGTACTAGCCCAGAGTAATGCTGACTTTATGGAGCCAGTCCACTGAGATACCATGCCACAGTTTAGCATTGATAACCCACTCAGAAATAGTATTCTGACGCCAAGTTGATCAATCATTCTTTTCTCCCTTAATGTTGAGAGACAGGCAGGGTAATAAGGAGTACCATCTCTAAATGTCTTCTAAGTTTTATGACGTGGCCAGGGATCTAACCAGCTTCAGCTCTCCAGGCAGACGCTCTATCCACACAACCACGAAGATGGTGACAAAACTACGTACATGCTCTCTGTTGTCCACATAAGCATTATTTTGTTATTCAGACAAAATGCAGTAATAGTCCCTAAATACCAACAGGTTTATACCCTGCACTGTCCAAAAAATCAAGGTCTTGCAGAGATAAGAGATGGCGGCTGACCTTTGTGTTTTATATTCATCTCATAGAGCTTATCACTACAGGCTGTACAGGTGGGTGCTACTTACGAGATATTCAAAGACAAGTGTCAGAGACTTCTCCGTGTGAATTATATCATGTAGCGTGACGACATTGGCATGCTTCAGATCTCTTAGCAGGGACACTGCAACAGACATGGGTTGGCAAATTAAAGTACATCTCAAATATCATGTTGTTCAGTACATGTTCCACTCGCCCTTCAATTTGCAGTCACACAAATCATTTAATTTATTAAAAATATTTACAAATACTGCTGTAAGACATCTGATGTTTTTTCTTGAGAGCCTTGAAATTTTAAATATCTCATATTCAATGACATTTAATGTCTGATTAAAGACATTCATATTTATTTTGGGGGGAATCACAGATAATCTGAGGGCAAGTCACCTAGAAATTTCAGACATTTCTATATGCAGGACATTGCAGAAGAACTGCGATATTTGTTTGTTGTTTGACGCCACACTCAGCAATTTTCCAGCTGTATGATCGCAACCTGTATACAATAAAGTCTGGACCAGACAATCCAGTGATTGACATCATGAGCATCGAACTACGCATTTTGGATACATGTATGATGACATGCATCAACCAAGTCAGCAAGATTGCCCACCCGATCACGTTAGTCACCTCTTATGACAAGCATAGTCGCCTCTTATTGCAAGCAAAGGTTTCTGAAAAAGAGCTATGAATGCTTTATGAACACTGGATATCTTTTCAAAATGAACACAATATATCTCCTATCTTAATAATTTGCATATAATTAATGCACCAAATCCACAAACTTGAGCAAAGGGGTACATTACTAGGCCTACCGCAAGGGAATGGATCAGGGTGCATTCGATTTTATTCTCCACTCCCTGGGAAGTATACAATTTTTAATCTGTTTTAAATAACATACACTCTTCAATATAACAGAAAGTGAGGCAAAGGAACTATCTAATTACCATGTACTCTAGCTGTGAACCAGGGCTGGAGTACATGGCTTGGAGATGAGGCACACTAGAAGCCCTGACCTGTATCTATCCTAATGGAGCACCATCCTGTCAGTGGGGACACTGTTTTCAGTTTCGTTAACATTTCCCATCACTATCACTTACACTAAAGAGAATCTAAGTGTGGCTGGGCAGACATTTCCTTGATTGCAGTGCAGGGGCAGGTAACTCCCTTTCCTGATGACAGAAGAGGGGCAGATAACTCACTTGCCTGATGGCAGTACATGGGGAAGATAACTCACTTGCCTGATGGCAGTACAGGGGGCAGATAACTCACTCGCCTGATGGCAGTAGAAGGGGCAGATAACTCACTTGCCTGATGGCAGTACAGAGGACAGAACACTCACCTTCCCTGATGGCGGTACAGGGAGCGCCTTCTTCATGCTCCAGCCTGATTTCCTTCAAGGCTACCAGGTTGTCAGTAAGTCGACTTTTCCCTTTGAACACTGTTGCATATGTTCCCTGTAAAGATGATGAACTTGTATTTTGACTGATCCAGAACACAATCAGCTTATCAGCAAGGACAGCTGTGAGTAGTAGCCTTCTTGCCCAAGCAACATTGCCAAATGGTAAACCCTGATTACTAGTTTCAGTTTAACTTTGGGGGGATGTCCCAAAACATCAGGCCATAAAACTTTCCAGTCGACTTTAAAGGATAAATTTGTATTTCTGTATCTGATTGGTTGGTTGGTTGGTTTGTTGTTTAACACCGCACTCAGCAATATTCCAGCTATATGACCAGACAATCCAGTGATTGACATCATGAGCATCAATCCACGCAATTGGGACCAATGACATGCATGAACCAAGTCAGCGAGCCTGACCACCTGATCCCTTTAGTCGCCTTTTACGGCACGCATGGGTTGCTGAAGACCTATTCTACCCCGGAATCTTCACGGATCCTCTGTATCTGAGCATCTGTATTATGAAATAGTATTTGGCAGAAAGTAGCAATCATGTGAGAGTTGGATTTTTGACATCTAAAATGTCCAGAGAAGAATTTATTATTTTTGTAAAACCTAAGACAAAACTATTTTTTTCCAGCATTTTCTTGAAAAATAATATTTTTACAAAATTTTCAACCCCCTATGATATCCTCGAAGCAGTTCTGTTTTAGAAGGTGCTACTGATATTGTACTTGCCAATATTGGATACCACAATTGTTCCTCTTAAAACCCTAAATTACTTTGTGGAATGGAATTGTGACCGATATTGTAAGTGCTATGACTGTCATAGGTTTATATGAAGTAAAAGTAAGTTTGTGGACCTGACCCAGGGCAGACATAGACATGTATCTCTATGTAGCTAATGGTTTAGGCTGTACAAGAACCATCTTAGGTACCAGTCTGGGAAACATCAGCTTTGTACAAGTTGTAAATCCATTAGACATAAATTGACACATGTACTTTGAAGTTTTATTGAAGCCAAATGATGGTAGCAGAAAAACCATCAAAGCGTAAATTCACAAAGTGGCACTAGAACCGTCTGACAAGCAAATGCACAAACACTGAGTCACCAGAGCTGAGAAGTTCGTGTAATAGTGACCAAAATGTTGTCAAGGTTGAGAACAGTTTACGCATTCACTCCTGAGTCAATTTGGCTGACAGGATGCAATTGCTGCTTCATCTTGTATCAGTGCTGTGAATAGGACATGTTAACCAAGGGCAGTCGGCCACATAAAGGTGAAATCGGGCCTGGCTTCAACAGCTATTGTACCAGTACACGCATTCCCTAGATGCCTAGATGATGGACTCACTCAAGCAGCAGGTATTGGGAACCTGCTGCTTCTCCACAATCAGTGACAATAACTGGCTAAGGAACAGACAAATGGTCACATCACATTAGAGTTGAGAATGCATGTGGACACACAACTTATTTAATTGGACTTCATTCTTGATATCCATTTGTAGTGAGACTGTTAAATCTAACCTAGCAACCGTCAATAACATGTTGTCTATCGCAGGGAGCGAAAAAAACAGCTCGTCTGTTAGGTTGCGGGAAGTGACTTTCCAGACAGCAAGTTGTCTTTTAAAGCAGCATGCCCAATTTGCAAGACAAAAGATTTATCCACAAAATATGATGACTACTCTGACTGCCAGCCCCTTCATTGTTTCAACACCATGTGTAACTATTACACACCTCTTGACCTGTGTTCGAAATAGACATCAGACCGTAGGTCCGAGGCCAACAGATATGTTCTCGGGCTGGTAGTTTTAAATTTCAGCAGACCCTTACTGCCTACAATTTATTTAAGCAATAAGTTATTATGCATTTTTTAAGAAATGTGATAAACATAACGTTCTTATACATAAACAGTAGGATTTGACCTTTCAAATAACATGTAGTCGCAAAGAAGTTTTACAGGCTTATCCTGATAAAAGTAGGCTTCATCTATCACCACCGAGTCTCTGGGAACTCGGTGTGATAGCAGTAAAAGCTTTTGGTTGACTGGTTGTGTTTTGTAATATATATTGCAAGAGTATGTCTCCCTGCTTCAGCTAAAATGTGGGCCTACAGTTTTTCCATGGGGGCCTACAGTTTTTCCACGGGGCCTACAGTTTTTCCATGGGGGCTACAGTTTTTCCACGGGGTCTACAGTTTTTCCACGGGGGCCTTCAGTTTTTCCACAGGGCCTACAGTTTTTCCACGGGGTCTACAGTTTTTCCATGGGGGCCTACAGTTTTTCCACAGGGCCTACAGTTTTTTCCACTACAGAGTTTTAAGGCTCTCAGTTTACCCTGCTGAGTTTCAGACACTGCTCTTGACTCTATATTTTACAGGATGGATATCTGGATAACGTTTGACATAAACATAAAAAGATATAGCCAACTACAGCAGTTCAACCCTAATCCATTGTCAAAGAAAAACATCAGCTTTTGTTTCTTAGTTATATCATTGAAGAATATGGTACATATATTGTCTGGACAGAAACCCTTTGAAACAATTATTGCTGACTTTCGAGAGTGTACTGTGATATTTGAAAGGATTTGAAAAATCATTAACAACATACTCAACTATAGTGAATAAACTCATAAATCCATAAATGCCTATTTGTTATGTTGAAAAACACAACCCAAAACACACAAATGATTTTAAGGTAATTTTGACAGCCAGACTCTTTCTTTTCTGAGTTAAACAGTGCTGACTATGTTATGGTTGTGAGGTTTTCATTTTAAAGAAGAAAGAAAATGTCTTCATGTTTGTGCTACAGAATTAGTTGTCTCAAAGAACCTTTTTTAACATTATGTCATTTCAACATTTTTACCAGCTGCACTATACAACGATATCAATGTGGGCTCCAGGTGCTGTACCTACTTTGGGCTTCAAACCCATTCCTTACTGCGACAGACAAATGCTCACACTAACCACTCAGCCATAGTGAGTGAGTATGGTTTTACACCGCTTTTAGCAATATTCCAGCAATATCACAACGGGGGACACCAGGAATGGGCTTCACACATTGTACCCATGTTGGAATCGAACCCGGGTTTTCGGCGTGACGAGCGAACGCTTTAACCACTGCTACCCTATTGTCCCGCTTATAATATAGCCATAGTGCATTATAAGGGACTCCCTAACTCACCAACAGCAATCTACCTTGCATTACAGGCATCCTTGGGAAGTCTTCATTTACAGTCAAGTACCGTTAATCCGACATCAATGGTTGCATATGATTATGTCAGATTAACGAGTATGTTGGATAAACGAAATTAAGTAGTATCAACGTTTGTGATTGAAAATCAGACAGCTTCACGATAGATAACGATTCAAACATGTAATAAATAAATAAAAAATAAATATTCATATTGTTATGTTACATTGTTGGTGGAATATGTTTTCTTATCATGCAACCTCTAAAGTTTAACACAAAACAACTGTTACGGGCTGCATGACTTATTCAAAATACTTTAAAAAGCATTTAAAAGAATGGAAGTCGCAAGTTTGAAACTGGTACCGCAAAGCTTAAGAAAGCTGCTTTCTAAGCCATTCACTGTTAGTCATTTCATTGGTAGGTCATAGTTCGCGAAAGGTTGTTCTGACGTGACCTGTAATGGGATGACCTCGGCAATAGCGAGAACTTGTATCTGATTTTAATGAGATTGAGGTAATCTAAGCATGTAATAAATCTTGTTTCTTTATTTAAAGCATTAATTGTTTATTGTTAAGCAAGATTATCTTTGCAGCAGTTGTAATATGCAGCTAGCAGACGATTCATCTCGCATCAAAACACGGGCTGTGTACTCGCGGGCAGATGACCACGGAGTACGCTGATCACTGTGTCGCATTAACAAGACTGATTAATGAGTGATTTCGGTAATTCGTTGCAAATTAGGTGTGTCGAAGTCAGAGTGTGAGACTGTTGGATTAACAGGTCTAAATAGCACTGATTTAATCGGTTCCCATCATTAGTGTAGGATAAAGCCAATTGTCGGATTCACGAGTGTCGGATTAACGAGACTTGCCTGTACTTGATAATCTGCCTGAATGTTATTATTCAGGACAGTGCAGATAAAAAAGTTGTTTTCCCTGAAAATTCACATGCTCACTAATGAACACAATTCAATTCCTTGTCATATCTGAAAGTAAAATATTCAGTGCTATTATTATGTGTGGATGAAAACGTTTTTCTTTTTCTCCCAATCTCAAAGTTGGGTCCTGATGTTATTGGCCCTTGGGAATCCCAAGAAAAGACTGTTGTTGGATGAAAAAGCACACCCCTTGTTGTAACTAGTAATCCAATCTCTGTACCACCCTGCTATGAATGCCATGCTTACCTCCCCAAGCTTGTCCAGCTTGGTGTAAGATTCAATCTTTCCAAAACCAATTTCAGACTGAAAAAAAGGTAAAAGGAAGAATATTAGTTCAGCAATCTCATGATGTGAGGAAAGCTCTCATGGGCAGTAATATCACAATGTACATGAATATCAACTTTTGAAAATAAGATGAAAAAAAAGGGTGCTTCTCCTTTAAATAGCCTGGTTGAAATTCATTATAAACACAAAACTAAAAGCAGTCTAGACAGATAAACAATCAATATTTCCATAAAGAAATATATGAGATATTAAAACCTATTCTACACAAAGACTCAATGATGCAGTCATTGGCAGTAAGGACATACGTGAAGTCAAGCCTAACAACATTATTGTAGTATCCTGTCACCCAACAAAGTAATATTACAGGTTCAGGAAACCAGGGGTTGAAAGTGTGAGCACCTGTCCATGCCCCATGAGATTCTGGGTAAGAATATGTCCCCAGCAACCTATGCTCCTGATTGTGAAGGCATCTGGGTGTATCGGATGGCCAGATTTAATGACTTGGCTGAAAGCATGCCATTGTACCCTGACTTGTTGCTCACAATATCAATCACTGGATTGTGTCGTCTAAAACTTGTTTATTTACAGGCAGATCTATACCGAAATGTCGCTTTTTACAGTATTAAAGAAGTTGTTATCCATAAAATTATGTCATATAATATAATACCTTGTCATATAGCAGTTTCAGTACTGACTGAGAGACAAACAAGTCAGGATACACAGGGTATGATTTCATTCTGTTTTACCACCGGCACCAGGTGCAACCGTGTATATTAATCAGGTTGCACAACCAAAATATTGACTGCACCAGTCCATCATAAATTGAAACACTGTATTTTCAGTTATTTTGAATATTAATTAAATTCAAAGAAAACATAAACATGAGAATGTGCTCCAGTATTGTATTTTGTGTAATCTGTTTTCACATCATGATATCCAGTAAACAACCTCAAAAAGAAGTTTCAAAGTGTCAGTTTCATATGATTGTATGATTGTAACCTCATGAGTGACTGTTCTAGAGGTAATTGTAAAGAATTAGTTCTGCAATTCACTGCATTCAGACCACCTGTGTATTTTACCAATTTCATAAATTTTGTTTCCTTGATTTGAAAAGATTTGCAGCCAGTTCTAAAAGAATTCAGTTTTCCACTTTCATCAAATATAATTGCTGAGGTGGGAAATGTTACCTGCACTGGGAGCAACCTGACAATAAAAGTTACCTGCACTAGCAATGTATTACCTTGGACATAGCAAAATTGATCCCTGATACAAGGACATAAAACAACCTCTGTGAATTAAGTTATTAAGACCTAAACAAGGTTACTATCATCACTCAGTGATTGCTGTTTTATGCCACAGTCAGCAATATTGAAGTGACATCTTGGCAGCCATTTATTAACAGCATCAGCAACAATCTCAGTATCACAACCATCCGTCCCCAAACCCACCCAATCTTCATTAGTCGCCTGTTGCAGCGAAACAGGGACACTGGGGACGACATATTGTGCTCCATAATTGCAATGGGTTAGAATCACGTCCAATTTCTTTGACAGACTGTGCCTACCAGTGACTTCCTCCGTGACCTCCGAGACAGCTGGCCATCGGGACTAAGGGTCAGATTTTGGCGTGCTAGGAAATTCTCTGGAAGACGGATGTCAGCAGGTAGAGACAACCTCTTTGTCACCTCCTGAAAACAGAACAAAGCGTCATTTTAATTTTTCAAAATTAGAGTTATGATAAGAACTGAGTATTGCCTGGTATCTTGCGATACGATTTGTATCACGATACGGACTGATGATACTACTGGTATCACGATACACATCAAAAAGTAAGAAATTATGAAATCACTGAAATACAGCTCTAAAATCCCTTTCTTCATACATTTATTTATTTATTGTTATCTAATGAAATTTAACAAAGGAAACCACAAGAGCAAAACAATTTTAAATGAAGGGATGGTTATTTAATGTAACAGTTAGTTGGCGCATCCTCAGCTACCAAGTCCTTCTGCTCTGCCATGCTTGCAGGTGGTGCAATGCTACCTCTGCCATTATGGGAGGTAACTCTATAAGTTCCTGTTCTATTTATAGCATATCACGAGCTCACAAACTGATGATTCAAGTATCGTGTGTACCTAGTATTGTGTGTACCTAAGTATCGATGATATCGTAGGTATCGTTGAAATGTTACAGCCCTAGTTATTAGCATTGCTCGTTCACTCACAGGATCAATTAACTAATCTTCTCGTCTGCTAGTTTGTTGGGATAGAATATTAGTTACATGGTCCTGTGGTTCACTATTCTGAGTCCAAAGAAAAATAACACCAATTCTTTGATATCTCTTCGACTTATATAATTGAAATATCAAATTAGCAATAATTTCAAACTATTACATTCTTTTTCGGATCACATATTTGTAATGCATTGACAAGAAGCTGCAATTCATCAGAGGAAACCAGCAATTTTCTTTCATGTGATATGATTTTAGCTATCAAGAGACATAAAATCCAATTTTTTCACAGCATTAGTCACCTAGGGACAATTGTATGATGTAATCACTTCAGCCCACATACATATTGTTTGTCCAATTCAAACTAGATGTTGGAATCAGTAGACACGATTTGCCACATTGGTCTGTATACACAGATTTTGCCACCGAAAACATACTTAACACAATCCCTACAGCAAGATGAAAGAACAGCAAGAAGTAGTAAGCAAGGATTCACAATCAGTAAAAGTAGCTACAGTTGTATCACTGTTGCCCTAGCAACCACTATTTCAACATTTGCACATGAAAACCTAGAATGCATGACATGTTCAGACAATGTTTATGATACTATATTCCAGAAGTGTAACCATTTCAAGCTCTGACTTTCATGCAGTTCGGCCCTCACTCCATGGTGGTCTGTATGCATGTGAATTCCCATACTGCATCGAGGCGAGGGTCATTTCAACTTTATTTGCAGAAATTATTTAACTTTATTCAAGGAAAAGAGATACAAATCATGTTTATGTATGGAAATAGTTATTGGAACAGTTATTTAGGACGAAATGCGAAGTTTTATTGTCAAATGCTGGGCTGGCTGTCGGACGCCGGTTGACATCGCCAGTGGAAAAAAATGTGAGATCTTCGACTCCGTGTATAAGACGACCCCCCTTCTCAGCCCCCTCATTTTAGGTACGAAAAACTCGCCTTATACACAGCGATATACGGTAACTGAAAGTAACATCTCAACCAGAACTGACTGTTAAAGAATCGGTCATTTGAGGGTGGTACCTCTATGGCTTCTGACTATTACTAGATTGTACATAAATTGCTTTCTTTAAAGTTCCAATTTAGTGAGTTGGATTTAATGCCACTTTGAAAAGTAATCCAGCTATATCACGGTGTTTCAGCTTAATGTGGGAGGAAAGCCTGTGATGTCGGTCTCGAATGTGAAACCCAAGAGCTTTTGTTTGCTTGTTGTTAATGCCGCAATCAGCAGTATTCAGGCTATATGACAGTCTGTAAATAATCAAGTCTAGACCAGACAATGTTTGACATCATGAGCATTGATCTAAGCAATTGGGATACGATGACATGCATCACCAAGTCAGCAAGCCTGATCCCGTTAGTTGCTTCTAATGAAAACCATGGTTTGCTGAAGATCAATTCTAACCACGATCTTTACGGTGGAGACAAGACTAACAGCTGTAGGAAGCTGTATGATGAAATGGCGACTCGGGGTCAGTCAGTGATGACAAACCTAGAAGCATAATCAGGGCAAACCGGGATTCAAATCACAGTTTTAAACCATAAGAATTATATCATTTTTTAATAAAATAAATTCATGCATTTCCAAGGCACATTATCCATGTTCAAAGCCATTTCAAGACAGATCTCACACTTCCCAATAAAGACATTTCAAGCCTCTGCAAACACCAATTCCTGACAGCATTTCTGATGGCCATGTTGTGTGGATGAATGCCAACCCAGTGGCTGGTACAAGCACTGGATACATTCAGACGATGATGCAGGGTGAAACTATTCTATAGTTCACTCAATAAGAGCAATCAGATATTTAATTTCTCCAGCAGACTAACAACTTTCTTTCCAGCTGGTACAGCTTGAAGTAAGCACAATGCCACAGTAACACAGAACAGATGGCAATGGTGGCGAGGTCTACCTCAAGGTCAGGCAAAAACCAGGTGTATGTGTCCCCGTCACGGTCATGCTAACCTGCCTGCCTCAACACAACATACGTCCCTGTGCAGCTCAAGGAGGATTGCATGGGTAAGGTTAGACATACAAATAGTCCAAGAAATAACGATATCATATTTAAAAAATATATATCCATAAAATATAAAGTAAAACCCAAATAGAGCCCAGAACAATGCTGAATTTCTAAAAGCCGAATCAATCTAGACTTGACAAATCATTCTCGACTTGAACTGGATAAAATTTCATTTTCATCAGCCTCATGTCCTTCTGACCATGAAAATCAGTAAAATAAGAAATATAAAGGGTGTTGAAGGTCACCAACTGACCTGTTGAAGACTATTCCAAAAAGTTAGAGGGGTGGTGGGGTAGCTTTGTGGTTAAAGCATCATGCTGAAGTGAGTGAGTGTCAGTGAGTGAGTGAGTGAGTTAAAATTTAACGTCGTATCAGCATTATCTCAGCCATATAGTGACGAGACCAAGTTAATATATTTTCAATTTAGTCATTTATGCAAAGTTTTGTTTAAAAACAAGTTGTAAAACATATTTGAGCATACTATATTTAGAATCAATTCATGAAACATATTTGAGCATAACAATATTATATATTCAGTTTTAAAACACGGGCTACAGGCCACCAGTAACCAAAGCTAGATTTACGTCATCACTTTAGCCACTGGTGGTTGTGCACAATGCTAGCCAATATTAAAAAATACTCATCAATGAGTTGGCTTCAAAACACTGGTTGATGATAGTTACATTGATTATGATAGGATTACGTGTCACACAGGGGGGCAATATTTTCACGGTACTTTAACCTCCTGGACAGAGCCTTCAATAATGTCTGTTAATAGTAGCATCACACCAAAGTTAAAAACAAGCATTTAATTATTCACATACATATTTAAAATTTATCACGCCCAAGACCTGGGTTTGATTCCCCACATGGGTACAATGTGTGAAGCCCATTTCTGGTGTCCCCTTCTGTGATATTGCTGGAATATTGCTAAAAGTGGTGTAAAATCATTCTCACTCGCTCAAGCCAATAAGTTAGTGTGTTTGTTGTTTAACGCCGCAGTCAGCAATATTTCAGCTTAATGACGATTGTCTGTCTGTAAATAATCGAGTCTGAACCAGACCATCAAGTAACTGACATAATGACCTTCGATCTACGAAACTGGGTTCCAATGACATGCATCAACCAAGTCAGCAAGCCTGACCACCCGATCCTGTTAGTTGCCTCATGCAACAAGCAAAGGTTGTTCTAACCCAGACTTTAACAGGGTATTCCACAAAGTGACCTGAAGGCTAAAGTAACTGTAAGATGCACCTGGTAGTATCAAGGCAGCTTACCTCACTAAACCTCCTCTGCTTGTTGCGGAGTCGGACAGGGGAGATGACATCCTCCTTCTCGTCCGACGTGACAGACACCTCCTCACTCTCTCCATCAGATCCGATTCGGGGGTTCTCGTGTACAATACCTGCAATACAACAATACAATCAGCTTCTGTTGAAGTACAACGCCACAACTTGGATACAACTCGACAATCCACGTCATAATGAAACTGAATATATAGCAGGCCTCAAAGTTTAAATTTTACCCATTTTAGCCACGTACAAGTATTTTTTTCCCAGGTAGCCAGTGTTAAAATTAGGAAGTCGAACCAATAGTGTAGGTAGCCAAAAGCATTTGAAATTATCTTTTATCAAATAACTATTAGTGGAAATTAATGCTTTTGTTTGTGTCTACATATGTGTAACATTAGTATTTAGTCGCCACAAGATATTTTTCAAGGTAGTCATTTGGCTACCTCTGAATTTAAGACAGTGGACAAATTGAAATTTAGGTCGCATTGGCGACCATTTTAGTCGCAACTTTGAGGCCTGTATAGTGAACCAGAATGTCTGATACCAACATGTGACTAGCATGGTAACTGAGGACCTCCTATGCTGATCCTTCCTATGTACATATATCACTAAATCCTTCCTGAAACAGGTGAGGTGAGGTGAAGTGAAATTGGGTTTAATTGGGTTCGAATTGGTTACGATCTCGATAGGATCGCTTTATTGAAACACACAGACATTTTAAGGTGATGTGAGGTGAGATTTGGGGTTTAATGTCGCGTCCAAGATTATTGCACTTATATAGCGACGTGCATACACGTGTGTGTGTGGCTGTTTGTACTAGTCCGGACTGATGCCGATTTATAGTGCTAGCCCACTGAGATACCATGCCGCAGTTTAACATGAATACCCCACTCAGACACAGTATACTGACTCCAAGCCGACCAGTCCTTGTTTTAGCCCCTTAATGTCGAGCGCCAGACAGGGTAACAACAAGTACCATCTGTTAACGTCTTTTGGTATGACATGGCCGGGGATCGAACCCCGGACCTTCCGCTCTCCGGGCGGACGCTCTACCACTAGACCACGGAGGCGGTCTCCTGAAACAGGAATGCCTTATGGGTACATATACTCATAACGCAACATCACAGTGAAAATATTAGGGTTTTGTTCCCTCCCCCAAAGCTTTCTGCTCACAGTGTTACAGTAATCCTTTGGGCAAGAAGACATTTTAATAGTCAGGCCATATGTTATCATTATGTGCGTGAGTGATGTGTAAATGAGTAATCTCCCCTGACATTAGGCATACAGCCTGGCCCAGGTGGCATCTGCCTCACATAAGACATCAGCCTAAGTGATACAGGCATGTACAAAACAGCATATGTTACACAACTGCATGAAACCATATGACTATCAATCAAACATAATTTATGTAACATATTCACATTTTCCTTAAGACTTGACATTTTATTGATCCTCATAAGTATAAGTATAACTCTGCTTTCAGAAATGTTCGAGCTATATGACAGCGGTATGTAAATATCAAATCAGGGCCTGTCAATCCAGTGTTTGACATCATGAGCATTGATATATCCTGTTATTTACCTCTAATGACAACCAGGGGTTGCTGAAGATTAATTCTAACCACGATCTTCACTGGGGAGACAAGAATGGGTTGCTAATGGGTTGCTAATGGGTTGCTGATTTGTTTGTTTATTTGTTTGTTGCTTAACGCCACACTCAGCATTATTCCAGCCATATGACAGCGGTCTGTAAATAATTGACTCTGGACCACACAATCCAGTGAATGACATCATGAGCATCAATCCACGCAATAGGGATACGATGACCTGCATTATTCCAGTCAGCGAGCCTGAGCACTCGATCCCGATAGTCGCCTATTAAAGCATGCGTTGTTGAAGACCTATTCTAACCCGGATCTTCACAGGGTGTACTGCGGATTAATGGATAACTGCATAATCTTATTATTCAACCGTCAATGAGCTCAGAGATAAGTTATTGCCAGGTTGAATAAATATAAATAAGTTTTTGAAAAACCCCATTGACAATCCCATAACAAAATATGGATCCAGCAATTCATCTACATATAGTCAGCTCTGTATAAAACAGTTCATCATACATTGTTGCTGTGATTCATTTTTTTAATCATGCAGATGGCAAAAAGATGGCTGACTGAAAGAGTAGAAAACCCCAAACCTACTCAATTCAGGATCCGTCATATTTATCTTTCTAGCTAAATACTTTCATATCTTCACATTCCAGTCCATTTCAGGAAGATAATTTCTATTTTTATACCCATATTCCTATATACGAGAGTCTTAGATTCTCCACTAAAAGCAATTCTCCCTATCAGACACCAGTATTGAGAATGCTGCTTCAGTATACATATATAACCACTTGTAACTCAATCACAGCTGGCATCTGATCTGCCAACCATTAACAGATAACCCACATCATACTCCTGGAAGCCGGGACAAAATGGGTCGCCTCTTCATTCAACACATCCACTACACAGCCTCCCTATCTCCCACCTTGACCCAGAACCAATCAGTGTTGGCATGCTTTAACAAGACTGGCATCATGAGGGAGCATCTCTCCTTTCCTAACCCTCCCTGTAGTCACAAAGGACTGTTTCCTCCAAAATCACAATCCCTTCCGTAGGCCTTTTCTCCATCTTGAGCATTGTCATATATTTATAGAAGGTAGTTGCACCCATTCTGACACACTGCCAAGGCAGCCATGAGTAAAGAATCTGACTACAATATGGGTTCCATACCAATTCCCATAAGGAGATAACGGTACAATGGTAATTGTGGTTCCATGTTCCTGGGTCATTCTGCCATTTTGTTACCATGTGTGAAACCATGCAAGCCTTCACCTCACCCAGGCAAACACTAGGGTCTAGAGTTACGGCAGAATTAGTGTCAGAATGTTGAAGATGCACAACAGAAACTAAATCTAGTGGAAAGATCTCCCTCCATTATGTCTAACACAGGCCATTATCTCTGCTCACGTTCAGGTTTGGAGCCAGTGACCTTGCACCAAAGACAAGGAAGCCCCAGTGTGGATGGACGTAGCCTTACCTGCATTCCTGTGTCGGCTGCGACAGTTACATCCAATCCAAGTGAGACCATAGTCAAAAACTTTGGAGATGTACGTGAACATGGTTCATGCTAGTTTCTGAGATTCTCTCAAGTCTTGTGGTGCTGCCCATTTAGTCCTGGCAGGCTGTTGTTACAGTGAATGGGCTAAGCAGGGGGTGGAGGGAGGGAGGGGGAGGGCAAGGGGGAAGAGTTGGCACATACACTTCCCCCCTTCCAGCTGTAGGCCACATGGTTTTCATCCAACAGAAACAATAACACAGTCTCAACCTGGCCTGACAATATGCAGCTGGTCATACTGGGAAACAGTAAAACTACCTCAGATTTTTAGTTGTTACTGGGACACAATACCCATCCATTTTATACTTATATAGTGTCAACCCGGGTTACAATATGTCTTCTGCAACTCATGATTGTCCTGAGATCAGGATCAGGCTTGCTGACTTGGTTGATGCATGTCATTGTATCCCAATTGCATGGATTGGTGCTCATGATATCAATCACTGGACTGTCTGGTCCAGGCTTGATTATTTACAGACTGCCGTCATATAGCTGGAATATTGCTGAGTATCACGTTAAACAAACAAACAAACAGAAAAATCATATAAGTGTCCCACTGTCATGGATGATAGAGCAGACAGCACATTATCTTTACAACATTAATTTTAACTGTCAAGTACAAACTTGACATCATATACACTCAAAATAACATCTCCTGTGTTAGGACAAACTTATCTTGAAATAATTAATGAAATCTGAAATTCATCCATCAAACACTTTTGAAATTGCAACAACAACTAAACATTATACAACTATAACAGGCAGCTTGTCCTGAGTAAATAAATCTTGTCTGAAATAACTAGGTGAATTGAACTCAGGGGCCCTGACCATATATTGCCTGAACAAAATATATATTCATTGCAGCATCAGTCACAAAATAAAATACACAACAGGCATTGGCAAAGCCTTTAATGTTTTATGAAGAAGAAACTGGAAAATTTCATCCAAGTAAAATGACATGTTCACTCCATGCCATCAATACCCAAATGGCAAACACAGGTACAAGAAAGCATATGGCCAACAGAATACATCAAATCAGGCCATGAACTTTTTCAGATTACTTCAGGAACCGTTCAACAATTTCTCAATTTAACAGCCGTCTAGCCTGAACCTCCACATCCAAAGTGTATCTGGCGTCAACCTGTCCTCAGTGACCTGCCTGCATGTACTGCCTGGAGTGTCTCCTCAACTGAACCAGAGGTGAGCGGCACCTCACACTGGGGACTTAAATACGGGGAGGAGCTCTGGAGGTCAGACTGGTGAGATTGCAGAGATGGGTGACGTACAAAACAACCTAACAACCGTTATAAGTCTATGTTAAGGTATGGGAGTTACGATCACCTTAGTGCTAAAATCACTTTGTACAATCAAACCTTAGTGCTAAAATCACTTTATAGAGACACCAGTTAGAGATATTTTTATGATTTTATCTAGTATTGATACATATTTAATGAAGTTTTGGATGATGATCAGTCAATGTCATAGATATTCCAATACATATGCTACAGTAACTTGGATGTCTTTACATGGCTAATCTTGTCTAATCCTGTGTAAGCCCCCGCATACCCCCAGAAAACATGATGAAATTTAATTTACACTGACAGTTTATGTCTCTTCGAAATATACTCCTCCCCCCCCCCAATTCCTTAATATATCCTCAAAAGATGAAATGACAAAAGGTGAATCCATCTCATCCAAAATAGCCTCAATCTGTGGACAGCTACTGTGCCAGAGCCATAGCTGTTCATATTACAGAGAAGCATCCTTGGTGATCTACAGACAAAATATCACCAGCATCATATATGGATGATTGTTTCCTGATAGAGAGCTATTAAGAGTCTGCCTAAAGGAGCAATTGACGTCACGTGTGACACATCAAACAGTCATCAATGTCCCGCTATCATCATGTTCTTTCACAAAACAGTGTTGATGTGTTTGGTTGCAGTACAGACCGT